ATCGCAGTCTTCTCAGCCATGCCGCGCAACACAAGCTACGTCATGCAGACAATGACGCAAGGGTCGCTGCGCATTGTCGTTGACGCCAACGGGCGCGTGCGCATGGAGCAGGCCACGCCGACGTTCCGACCGCTCACTGCGGCATCCGACGTCGACGCCGTCCTCGCCTCCCTCAACCTGCCGCGCGAGTACCTTGGGGACGTCCCGATCACGATCGTATCGACGGGGCTGCCCGACATCTTTGTGCACGTCACCTCCTCGCACGTGCTCCACGACGTGCTGCGCCCAGATATGGCCGCGATCAGCGCGCTCTCGACGCAGCACGACACGATCGGTATGCACGTGTTTACGCTGTCGCCGGACGAAGATGACGTGACGGCCGAGTGCCGCAACTTTGCGCCGCGCTTTGGCATCGACGAAGAGGCCGCGACGGGCACGTCGTCGGGGGCTCTCGGCGCGCTCCTGCTGCACCACGGCCGCGCCACGTCACCGCTGACGTTTTCGCAAGGCCGGCGCATGGGCTTGCCGTCGCGCATTGGCTGCATCATCACCACCAATGACGACGCGTCGATCGCGGGCGTCGAGATTTCGGGCATCGCTGACCGCTGCGGCGGCCAGGACGTCGACGCGTCCACGCAGCAGTAGTAAGTAAATAGCGCTAAGAATTAAGAATTGCTCCGAACACTAGAATTCTTTGCCCACATCTTGTTGACACATTTTCGTGAGGCGCAGCCCGACCCAGGTAGAGGCGCAGCCCGACCCAGGTAGAGGCGCCAGTCGAGAATGGGCATCGCCAACCCTCGTCGCGCCAATACGTTCGTTGGCGATACAAACTGCACCCTCTGTGTTGCATGAGGAGCCGATGGTCGTCGCAACGAGCTGTGCGAGGTAATGCAACGAGAGCAGTTCTTGCTGTCGCATAAAATAGCTCCTACGGTGTCGTCTGCTTGCGCCGTTCGCGCTGGAAGTGGAGGTCGCGCAAGACTTGGTTTGACAGCGCATAATTGACATCGGAGGGGGATGTCGGATCGTAGCGTGCTGGCAGCGCCGTCAAATACTGGCTCACGCGCGCTTGAAGTTGGTGGTGGTACTGCTGTTGCTGCTGCTGCTCGAACTGCCGCTGGCGGTGGTGTAGCTCTGCTTGACGCTGCTGCTCTTGTTCGTGCTGGCGCCGTCGATGCTCGTGGTCTGCGGTAGGAGCCATGGGCGGGTGTTGCAGCTGCCCGTGGCCGTCCGGCGACGAACCGCGCTGGATCTTGAGCCGCTTGAGCTTGTGCTCGACGACGGCCTCCATGGGCGGCGCACGCTTGAGGCCGCCGTAGCGCGGGACCTCGACGTCGTCGTCGTCGCTCGTCATGTCGACATCGTGCATGCTGCGGCGGTCGGTGCGAATGTGGAAATGACGGTATCCGGACTGTTCCACCGCCGATACAAAGAGCCCGTTGCTGTATCCGGATGCGCCGACGTCGCGATCTTTGCGAATGGTGATCTTCACATGCGCGCGCAGACGTAGTACTCTCTCTCGGTCTCGACCCAGTCGGGATGCGGGTGCTGCGATAGCACAGCGTTCACGACGCCGTTCGGGTAGTACGCATGGTCGTGGATGTAGTTGAGATGGACGCCGTCGGTCTTGAAGAGCAAGCTCAGGGGTACGTAGCATGCTGGTGTCTCGTGCCAGCTCGCCGCGCTCGTCCAGTAGACGTTGCCAATGAGGCCGTGGAAGAGACTGCGCCGGTCGATGCGCTGCGGCCGGAGCCCCACGGCGAGCAAGCACGCCTCCACAAGGCGCATGTAGGGCGCGGCGAGCGCGCTGCGCAGGACGGTCAGCACCGTGCACCAGAGCGCGACGAGCACAAACTGGCTGTGAACAATCGGAAAGTACGTTGAGCGCAGCGTCATGCAGTAGCCGACGAGCGCCGCGAGCACCGTCAACGGCACAAAGCCCAAGAGAACGACGACCATGAGGTAGCCTTGCCAGTGGCGCGTGACGCCGGGGACCTTGTCCATGCTCGCCATCGCAAAGAAGGTCCATGCAAACGAGAGAAGGCGTAGACACTCCAAGCCATTGGACATGTGGCCCCACGGGTCGACGGCGCAGACGTAGCTCGGATCGAGTTTGATATAGGACATGGCGTCCGACCGCCATTCGCAGCCGCAGCGCATCGCCCCAATGTGCCACGTGAGGAGACCAAGGAACCCGACGCCGCACATGGCCGTGCGGTGCCGTATCCAGACGACGCTCCCGACGTTGCAAGTCGCGCGGCTGTAGCGTGCTTGGACCGAGAGCTGCGCCCAGTTCTGGGTCCGCGCCATGTGCAGCGCGACCGAGACTGCAAAGTAGACTTGGCCGAGGAGCGAGAGAAGCGAGAGAAAATTGAGCGTGATCGTCTCGCTGCCGTTGGCGACCGTGATTGCGATCGTCGCTTGCGGACCCTGCGTGAGCATCTCCATGACATAGGACGGGAGCTCGATGGACGGCGGCCGACCGCCAATCAAGCACGCGAGGATGCCCAAGGGGCCAGCGGTGTGGTTGGCGACGGCGCGACGCCGGACCCCTGCGCCGTCGAGGTACGTGACTTGAACATGGTGGTCGCCACGGCCAAAGCACGCCGCGTCGGTAAAGATGGCGTTCGCGTCATATAAGATCGTATTGGGCGCCGAGATGCACACGCCGCCGCGCATGTACGTGAGCGTCATGCCACTGCTCGCGGTCTCGTTCAGACAGGCGTGGAAGCAGCCGTCGCCGACAAGGCAAAACTCTTCGAGCGCGGCGGCCGTGTCGCGGGGCGACCCGTGCACAGACGAAATAAGGTCTTGCCACAGCAACGTCCACGTTCCTTGCGTGGGGACGCGGCGGTCATCGACGCGCGTTGGCACGCTCCGCCACGTGTACAGCGTCACGTTGCCGACCATTGCGGACGGCACAACGTCCGCGTTGTCAATGTACCGCGTGCCCGAGTACGTGGCAATGTACTTGGCGGCAAAGAACGCCGGCAGCGTCGCGCCAACGCGCGCAAAGCACTGCGTTGCATCCTTCTGGCGGGTGATAGGGTCCACGTATTGAATCGCGCAAAACCACGCGGTCTCGCGCGACACAAAGATCGAGTCCAAGTGGCCGCTGCCCACCAAGTAGACGGCCGCGGGGTCCCGGCCCATGAGCTGGTACGTGAGTTTTCCGGCGCGGGCTCCCGAAATGTCGAGAAAGCCGGCTGTAAACGTGACGGGCGCATACAACAAGCCCGCGCCCGCCACGTTGACAACGCTTAAGGAGTAGTTGGCACTGAGCTCGTGCACGAGCGCGACGAGCGCGGCCCCTTCGCTTGCCATGGCCGCGACCAACTGCGCGCGCCGGCGTAAACACGCTGCCAAGTCGGGAAAAATCAGCGCTTCCCAGGCCGCGACGGCGGCAGCGTCGTCGGCATTCGAGCTCGGTGACAAGGGCGACGTGTACTGGAGGTTGACGTACGACTGCATCGAGACGCCTTTGAGGCACAGCACGGCCTCGGCCACGTCCTGGACGCCGCAGTCGTCGGCGACCGGCGGTAGCGCGGAGAAGAGGCGCTCGCTGCCCCAGAGTCCGAATCCGAGCGCGGTGAACGCCGGCAAATCGTGCGCAAAGCGACGTAGCTCCCGCGACGCGTTGAGCGACTGCCGGCGCGGCCGTCCGTTCAAGCTCATCTGGTACACATGCGACGAGTTGGCGTAACCCGTCGCCCAGAGCGCACTCGAGCGCGGTGCGACGAGGAAGTCGAGAACGACGTTGATGTAGCGTGTGGCATTTCGGGGGTAGCCAGAGTCGATCCCGGCGGCTGCGTAGAGCGAGGTAAGGAACGCGCCGTTGAGTTCCGAATCCCAATTGAGATTCTGAACCACCGTACTGGATGTCGGGACAAACCCATAGCGGGAGAGCCCCCATGCTTTGAGCGGTGCAAGTAGGTTCCAGAGGCAGCCGAGCGTAAATACGACTTTGGTTGTCCATGGGACCGAGGTGGGCAGCGGTTGGCGAGGCCAAACGAGGATGCCCGAGGGCGCAAGCGTGCTATTGGCGCGCAGCGAATGCACCTTGAACGTCTCCATCTCGCTGGTTTCTGCAAGGCTGAGCAGTGTCGAATTCTGGGTTTAGTAAATGGCTAGGAATAAACACGTCGACGGTTGCGAGCGCTATTTTGTGTCGGCACGACCGAGCTGCCAACTGCCACGGTGCAGACAGGGTGTGACGGACGCGATGCGGTCGATCGAGGTGTGATGATCGGCGCATCTTCTGCTTGGATGGATGCCTCACTACCAGGCACTGCCCACAAGTGCATTCCTGCTTGGACACTGCGACGCTAGGCGGTACTGACGCCCCTCATCCAGCGGCTCGCTCGAGATGGCGCATCAAGAACAAAGAGACGTACATATTCAGCGACCAAGCAGTCGACTTGAAAGACCTCGTCGATTACGAGCGACTGATTAAAGTGACTTTGGAGGCTGCGGCGCCAAGTACGTACCGTGCAGAAAGTCGAAGTACTGGAACGGAAACCCATAGTTGTAGTTGACGCGCCGGTGGTGGATCTCGTGGTCGCGCGTGTCATACACAAGCGGGATCCGCACCGGAATGCCCGAGTGGTCGAGCAAGCCAAAGAGCCCCATGAGCGCCATGTAGATGCAAAAGCTGTGCATATGCATCGCAAAGACGTACGGCGGTCCGTAGAGCACCCAGTAGTACGCCATGCCTTCGACCGGGTGCATGTACATGTCGTCGAACGGCCGCGGCGACTTGTAGTGGTGGTGTACCTTGTGCACATGAGCGTACGCCGCCCGCGTGTGCAGGAACCGATGCCAGTAGTACTCGACCGTGTTTTCAAAGAGACAGGCGAGGCCCACCTCGAGCGCGATGGTTAGCGGCGCCGGCGACGGCCCAAAGCTCATGCGCGAGAGGCCGCGCATATGGCCTTCGGCCGCCAGCATCGCAAACACCGAAGCCACGAGCAGATTGAAGAGCGTGAGCGCGGTATGGTCTGGCGCTTTGGGCTGCGACCGCGGCGACGGCGACGGGTAAAAGACGCGCTCGAGGAGAAAGGACGCACCGAGGTAGCCCAGAAAGACCACAAGAAACGAGCCAGTTGCGACAAGCGACCAATGCGTCGCGGCGACGCCGACGCCGACGACCGCGACGGCGTTGACGGCCCAGAGCAGCGCGATCGACGTCATGGCTAGATGCTGGCAGCGGTATCCGGACAGCGACCGCCATTCGTCGCTTACAAATACCAAGCAACGGCGCTCGAATCGGCTATGAACGCAGTTACACGGAGGGGTAGGTCCATTGCAGCTTGGGTATCCCGCTGCAATGTCGAGCTTTGGCAGTTAGTTCTCTACATGACGCAGCTGTGCTCTCTTTCATCGACTGAACGGACGCTTAGTCGTAGATGGACGGCGCCACTCAGATGTCTTAAAAATGGCGGGTGGTGTCTTGCGTTTGATCCAGGTCGTGCTGCAGTGAGCTACTAACTAGTTCGTGCTTCAGTGAGCTACATGTACCCGACAGAGCGAATGTCATGACGTCCTAGACGACGCGCCTCTCTCATGCGGCATCGGTTCGTCCTGACTGTCGTGTACCAGTACTTAGTAGTGTAGCAAATACGTTGCTGTTGCGACCGCTTGGGTCAACTAGTATAATGTAGGCGCCTGCCTTATGATGGCAGCCAGCAAAAACCACTGACCGAGGTAACGCGACGCACGCCTCTCCAACCAGCGCCGGCGCCCTCTTACATAGAGAAAGCATGACAATGACCCGCCCTAGCGATGCTGCACTGGTGCATACGAAGCAACCACGTGCACTTCGATGCATGAGACGTCTCGTGCGATGCAACGTGCTTGTGCAGTCTACCTGAACCATTTGCCAGTGGAGATATATATGTCTTGTTCCTTCTACAGTGCCATTGAACTGCAGATACATGTATACACTTAGGCTTCGTCGAGCGTGATCGTCTTGATGATGCGGCCCGTGACGACGTACGGGTCCATGTTGGAGGCCGGGCGGCGGTCCTCAAAGTAGCCCTTGCCCTCGGCTTCGGCCTGGCGCGGGATGCGGATCGACGCGCCGCGGTTGGCGACACCGTACGAAAACTGGTCGATCGACGCGGTCTCGTGGCGGCCCGTGAGCCGGCGCTCGTTGCCCGTGCCGTAGACCGCAATGTGCACCTTGTGCTTGAGCTTGAGCTTCTCGAGCGCCTCGATGATCTTGGCCATGCCGCCGTCTTCGCGCATCGCCTTGGTCGACACGTTGGTGTGGCAGCCGGCGCCGTTCCAGTCGCCCGGAATCGGCTTCGGGTCAAACGACACGAACACGCCAAAGTCCTCGCACACGCGCAGCATGATGTAGCGCGAGATCCAGAGCTGGTCGCCCGACTCGATGCCCGTGCACGGCCCGACCTGGTACTCCCACTGACCCGGCATCACCTCGGCGTTGATGCCCGAGACGCGGACGCCGGCGTAGAGGCACGCGCGGTAGTGCGCGTCGGCGATGAGGCGGCCAAAGGCCGAGTGCGCGCCGGCGCCGCAATAGTACGGACCCTGCGGCCCCGGGAAGCCGCCCTTGGGCCACCCGTACGGCGTCACCTGGTCCTTCTCAAAGAGCGTGTACTCTTGCTCGATGCCAAACCACGGCACGTGCGCCTTGGCCGCCTCCATGACGCGCGCCGCGTCAAAGCGCGTGTTGGTCGGGATCGGCGTCATGTCGGGCTTGTAGCAGTCGCAGAGCACGAGGATGTGGTTGCCGCGGCGGAACGGGTCCTTGTAGATGGCGGCCGGCTTGAGCATCACCTCCGAGTCCTCGCCCGGCGCTTGGCCGGTGCTCGAGCCGTCAAAGTTCCAGATCGGGAGGTCGGCGACCGACGTCGGCGGCTTGTCGAGCGTGCGTGTCTTGCAGCGGAGGTCCTGGCCCGAGCCGCCGATCCAGACGTACTCGGCTTGGATGTAGCTGCCCGTGTCGAGGCTCGCATACGAGTCGTAGACGGCGCGGTCGAGCTTGCTCATGGTAGTGGTGGTGTCGAGGTGGCAGAAGCAGAAGTGAGCAAATGACGGCCCTGGGCCAGGGCTCGGGGATCCACGGGAAAGATCTTAGTCCGCTGCATGCTATTGGCCGAAATGCACTGGTTTGATGTGCATGCATTGGTGCAAATTTATCGAAACGCGACGTGATTGGCGGGGGAAATTTCGACGAGATTGCGCACCTCCGATTGCGATTCAACGGTCAGTCGTGGAGAAGATTCAAGGGATTTCAAGCCTAATTCTTGGGTGTTTCAACAGCCAAATTGGTTTGGGACCCGCCGCCGATTGCGCATGCCAACCTGGCTGAAGCGTACGTGGATACTCGTGGCGTCGGACCAGGCCGCCCGCAGTGTGGGTTTTATGCCACCGGTCAATGAGCATCGTCATCCATTCAAGGCCATCCGCCATGACCCACGTAACGTCGGTTACCAGGAGCCCGCGGACGTCCTTGGCGTTCTTGCGTCGGCACTTCAGGGACGTCCTGACCGTTTCGTCTTATTGTCCCGTTCTTATGGCCACGGGTGATCTGCGCCCATCCAGTAGAGAGCTTGGCCGATGTGTCAATCGACTCGGGCGCGTCAATGTCACCCATGACAAAGCACCTGGTTGGCGGTAAGTTCTTCCTCTTCCTCCTCGGGGAACCTTTTCGAGCACATCTTTTCGGTGGGAGCTCGGACCCACGTGGCACTACGAAACATCCTAGAATCCTGGTTTCACACTTTTATCTGGGGCGAAATCGGCGCCGAATCGCATATTAGAAATCGGACATGTCCGATTTCTAAGTGGATTTTCGGACGCCTGTCTGATCCGGCGCAAAGTTGAAGTTGCCATTTTGGCCGCAGCCAATCCGCGTCGAGCAGGCCAATCTTTGACAAAGGCCTGTTGACGCAACAGAGCGCGCCGCAGCCACGGGAACGTTCTGCGTCAAGCAGCCAAGAGCGATCTTCGGACCTCGCGCCTCTGTTGCCAGCAGCGCAAGCGCCATTTCGTGCTTTGCTCACATTTGCTTCTGCCACCTCGACACCACCACTACCATGAGCAAGCTCGACCGCGCCGTCTACGACTCGTATGCGAGCCTCGACACGGGCAGCTACATCCAAGCCGAGTACGTCTGGATCGGCGGCTCGGGCCAGGACCTCCGCTGCAAGACACGCACGCTCGACAAGCCGCCGACGTCGGTCGCCGACCTCCCGATCTGGAACTTTGACGGCTCGAGTACCGGTCAAGCGCCGGGCGAGGACTCGGAGGTGATGCTCAAGCCGGCCGCCATCTACAAGGACCCGTTCCGCCGCGGCAACCATATCCTTGTGCTCTGCGACTGCTACAAGCCCGACATGACGCCGATCCCGACCAACACGCGCTTTGACGCGGCGCGCGTCATGGAGGCGGCCAAGGCGCACGTGCCGTGGTTTGGCATCGAGCAAGAGTACACGCTCTTTGAGAAGGACCAGGTGACGCCGTACGGGTGGCCCAAGGGCGGCTTCCCGGGGCCGCAGGGTCCGTACTATTGTGGCGCCGGCGCGCACTCGGCCTTTGGCCGCCTCATCGCCGACGCGCACTACCGCGCGTGCCTCTACGCCGGCGTCCGCGTCTCGGGCATCAACGCCGAGGTGATGCCGGGTCAGTGGGAGTACCAGGTCGGGCCGTGCACGGGCATCGAGTCGGGCGACCAGCTCTGGATCTCGCGCTACATCATGCTGCGCGTGTGCGAGGACTTTGGCGTGTTCGTGTCGTTTGACCCGAAGCCGATTCCGGGCGACTGGAACGGCGCCGGCTGCCACACCAACGTGTCGACCAAGGCGATGCGCGAAGACGGCGGCATGGCCAAGATCATCGAGGCGCTCGAGAAGCTCAAGCTCAAGCACAAGGTGCACATTGCGGTCTACGGCACGGGCAACGAGCGCCGGCTCACGGGCCGCCACGAGACGGCGTCGATCGACCAGTTTTCGTACGGTGTCGCCAACCGCGGCGCGTCGATCCGCATCCCGCGCCAGGCCGAAGCCGAGGGCAAGGGCTACTTTGAGGACCGCCGCCCGGCCTCCAACATGGACCCGTACGTCGTCACGGGCCGTATCATCAAGACGATCACGCTCAACGAAGCGTAAACGTGTTGAATGAACTGTCGTTATGTGTTGCCTACTTCCTTGCCTCGGGGTCGTGCCAAGCAGAGGTGTGGCTAGTAGAAATGAGGCGTCTACGACATTCTGAGAGTGTCAAAGGTCGGGTACGCTTCCGAGAGCAGCGGCGTGACTAGCAGCAACGGTGCGTCCGTGCTGGCTACCACCAAGTGGTCCGCGCTATCGCTCGTCGTTGAACCGTGTTGGCCAAACTCGTCGTTGGCGGGCGCTGTTTCGATCTCACGAGAGCGTAGGGCAGATGCAACGCGGGTGTAGAGGTCGCCACACCTTGTTGCACCTTGTTACACCGGTCTATCGTACACAAAATGGAGTTTGCAGTTCCACGAGAACCCGGCTGGTGTGGTCTGTCTTCTGGTTGACTCCCAGCAGCTCTCCCAGAACGGGCAGCGACGAAAGCTTTCAATATTCGATGTGGAATGTCATGGGAAGAATAAATTATTGGTTTCCTGGTGACTGCCATCAGACAATACTCGGCGGGTGGGCCTCATTGTCGCGTGGTGTGGCGGCAATGTCGGCCTTGGGCGTCGGCGTCGCGGGCGCCGTGACGTTGCTGTGACGTGGCGTCTCCCAGAGCAAGCGCGTGCTCGGTGCAGGGCTCATGTGGGCCACATGCCACTGCACGCTACAGCTCAAGAGCAGGAGGAAGGCCGCGCTCGGAAGATGCCAGATCTGCAGCACGAGGGCGTCATTGTCCCACAGAGCCGCCGTGGTGATCACGAGAACGGTCCCGAGCACTGAGGTCGTCACAATGAAGCTCACACGGTCGTCGCAGAAGGCAAACATACCGACAAAGATCACCGCCGTCGCGCCGCAGCAGCCAAGAGTCACGACGTCGAGGGTCGTCGCGTTGGCGTAGTAGAGAAAGAGGCAGAGGCCGAGGATACCGCCGAGGCAAACGACGGCGCGGAGGCCGGCGTAGGCCCAGTCGGCGAGGACGTGCCGGGACTTGGCGATCACGAGGTACACGGTGAGCGCGAGGACGGTGACGACGGCCGCGACTTGGTTGAGCGTCAGAATGAAAAAGTACTCGAGGAGAAGAAGCGTAAGCCCAATGTGCTGGATGTAGCGGTGGCCGCAGAGCGCCGTGGCACCGCCAAGGACGAGGGCAAAGATGAGCAGCGACTCGGGCAGGGCGGCCATGGCTCGTCGAAATCTCCAATGTGCAAGTGGCGGTGCATCGCACTTCGAGGCGCGGTCGGCCATCTGGTGCGAGCCGTCGTCATGAGCCGGCAGTTCCATTTCGATAGCCGCCTTTGATTGGCCGAGCCAGTTCCCAGCTCCTAAACTATAGCAAAGCAGGTCTGGCTTGATGGGACATCGGACCCAGTTGAGGACCACTCGAGAAGCGGTCACCTTCTGCCGCCCATGCGGCGTTGTGTGGTACAGCGACGGGGGCGCCGGCTCGCGTTGACAACCATGCGGCGTGCTCGGCAAACGTGTTCCAAGTTGGAATGACGTGGCAGCACCGTTTGCAGGATCGAGCAAAAACTCGGATCAACGACCTTGTTGAGCGAGAGATGACGACGTTACAGTTGGACACTATTGTCTTCGATGATGCTATATTTAACGCGTTGCCATGCAGCGCTTCAAGGGTGACAGCCTCCCGTCCTACTACATCGCGACGCCCAAGAAGAGCGCATCGAGCCTCGTCATCGCCGACATTCAGAGTCATTGCAGTCCCACGACCTCAAGCACATGCGACGCACCCCAGCACAAGACGCGCTCCACGCAAGACGACGCCAAGCGCGTCACGGTCCGACCAACGAGCTCCAACAACCGAAACCACGTTGTGGTCAAGCGGCGCGTCGAGCGGCCGTCGCTCTCGGCGCAGCTGGCGTCCATCGGGCAGCAGGCGCAGACACTCGTCGAGTCGCTGCGACCGCCGAACGTCGGCGGCGACCTCATCGTGCCGACGTCGAGCATGACGGTCGGTCGCCTCGAGTGCAAATTTCCGTCGCCCGCGCGCTTTGACGAGACCGCGTGTAAGTACCAGTTTTTAGTCGCGTCACGGGACATTGCCATGGTCATGTACTACCGCGACATGACGCAAGTCACGTTGGACGGCCGCGCGACGAGGTCCGTGCTTGCGTCGTGACCTTATTTGACGCAATTGCGTAGCTTGAAGTTCAAGATTGGCCACGCTCTCGACGAGTTTGGCAGCGACTACGACCACCGCAACCGTCAGCATTTCATCACGATCGGGTTCGCGTCCGTGACCGACTTTGAACGCGTCCGGACGTTCTTGCGTCTACGAGTGCCACGTCATCGTCGGCCGCCCGGCGCTGGCTCGTCAAATTGAACAGGACGCGATCTTGTATTGTCGATGCTGTCGAATTGGATATCGCATTGGATAGTCGGATATTACCAGTGGACAAGTATCCAAGTATCCTAACGCCAGCACTTTGGCAAGAATGCACTGGAGCGACGCGATTGACGGGCATTTCCCTTGGTGCAACGCGACACACGATGTTCATGGAGACGCAGCGATACTCTCGTCGATCCAAGATCTCAGAAAGGTCGTCGCGCGTTACCCATCTGATCCAGTAGGTAGTTGATCGCTGAGGACTGGGATTTGCATTTGTAGCACTGGCGCGGAGCGGACGCGGCCATCGACGCACAGCGCGTCAGCGCTAGCTACTCGCATCCGCGGGCGTTTCCATGGCGCGAGTGGTTTATGTGTTGCAATAAGATAGGATTAGGTTAGGACAACGACGAGAACGAACAAGGTAGCAGTGCAGTCTACAGTGAGAGGCCGTCGAGGCGAGAGGCCACGACCGCCATCGTCGGTCGTCGCGCGGGTGGGTACTGCAGACAGTCGTGGAGGATGTCGGCGACGGGGCTCGTCGCTGGCACCACCGGTTTCAGCGTCCCGGTCAAAATCTTCATCATGAGCTCGTGGTAGTGGGCGCTGGCGGCGGCGAACGGCGAGGCTTGGAGCTCGAGCGACAGAAGCACGAGCCCGAACGAGTACACGTCCGTCTTTTCGCTCACGTCGCGGCCCTGGAGGAGCTCGGGCGCGCTCCACTCGCTCGTCGTCGGCGGATGGTGGTTCACAAACGAGCTCGTCGCCCCGTGGCCCATGCCGAGGAGCTTGACGGCGCCCGTCTTGGCAGTGATGAGGATCGTGTCGGGCTTGAGGTTGCGGTGCGTGATCTGCATGCTGTGGAGGTACACGAGTGCGGCGGCGATCTGGCGCGCCCACGGCAGCTTGTGTTCGTGCCAGCTCAGTGGTCCGGACGAAAGCATCTCGAGGAGCGACGAGCCGTGCACAAACTCCGAGACGCAGCTCAGACCCGAGTACGGCGTGATGCAAAAGCCAAGGAAGGTCGCAATGAACGGGTGCTCGACCTTGGCACCGATGTGAACTTCGGCCATGAGCAGTCGGCGGGACCGCGACAGCTTGTGCGACGACGCGTTGCGGTCAAGGCGCTTGATAAAGACCTCTTGGCCGTCAAGAAACGCATACTCGCAGACCATGGTCACGGAAGGAATCGCGCGCGTGTCGGTGATGGCCGTCGGGTCGATCCACCACTCGTGCTGGAGCGGTGCGAGCTCGTCGTACTCGTACGAGTTGAACGTGATGAAGCGGTCGGGCGACGTATCGCGGTGGAACACCTCGTCGACCGACTGGGCGTACTTTTTGAGGTTGCCGTACATGCGCCGGACGGTCGACGACCGCAGCTGACGCGACGTGACCGAAGCGACGCGGCCCTTCTTGGCGCGCGTCGGCGACGCGACCACATCGTCGCTGTCTTCGTCATTGGTGGCGGGCTCGGGCGCGGGCTGGTGCTCGCCCGACGACGACATGTCCACCTTGTACTCGCTCGAGTGGATCTTCTTGGCGGCCTTGGGCGGCGCCGGCACGGGCACGGACCGCAGAGCGATCGTCGACGGCGGCAGCTGGACCGTGTCGTTGGAGCAGCAGGCGCCCATGTGATGGAGATATCGATGTTCAGAGAATGAGGTTCAAAGACGCTGGGCATGGCCGACGCCTACTGTACGTAACCAGCGCGTAATGCTGCCACTTGGGTGGATTTAGCCTCGACGCAGCAGATACCTGCGGTTGTCTATGCGATGCATAAATACGCTAATCGCACGCCGCGCCACTTTGCACTTGCTTCGCTTGCATCCTGCGTGGAGATGCGCAGTCTGTCCCACACTTGGTGTCGAAATGGCGGGCACCAAACCCAGCCTCGTACTGCCAACCTTTCAAGTGATTGGCACCCTTGCCTCCGCCTCGGACTCGACAGTTGCGGACCGAGGGCCGAGCGCGGTCCTGGCCTTCACTCGATGTCGCACGCCTTGTCGAACGAAGCGAAAATTTGGCTCGAGCGTACTGTGTACTCGTACGCGGCGTGTTGTACTGGCGCTGCCCGCGCCACGTTGAGCTCGCCAAGGATGTTGATGGCATCTGGGTTCGATCCCGCGAGGTTCATGTCGCGATGGCCATGGTTGGCCGTCAAAAGTTGAATCGGACATGGCTTCCACTCTTTCGCTTTGGCGACATGCTCTGCCCATGCCACTCTGTGGCGCTCGTAGGGACACCGTCGGCTTCGGCGCCGGCAGCACGCCGTCGTCGCTGAAGATCGCGACACGGCGTCCGCTGTGGACGCGCGTGGCGGGATTGCATAGAACCGACGACTGCGAGCGCAAGGAAGCTGTGATATCTGCATCGAGTATCATATTGGCATGCATACACGCAAGGTACTGTGGCCTTGCGAGCGCCGTGGCATTTGCCGCGGTGGCTCGCGGTTTTTTCTCTACAAACAGAGCTCACTGGCATATTTTACTTCTTTTTCCTCGAAAATCAACGCAAGAAGGGAAGTGCCAGTCGATCGTCGTGCGACTGAACCCTTGGTGGTCGCTTTTATTTGCGGGCAAGCGAGGGAGTTTTATTATTCATCCTCTGAATCTAGATGTTTGTATGTATATTTAAATGTTAGAGTTAAAATGAACGTCTCGCCCCAACAAGTACGGTCTAGTCGAAGGCCAGTTTGGGAGCAGCAGCATGAGCAGCGCCATGGCGGCCGCGTACGGCTCGTGCGCCGACGACATGAAGACGCCGACGAAGGTGCTCAACATCATCTCGCTCATCTTGTCCGCCGGCGCCTTTACGTACAAGCTCCAGCGCGCCCAAAGCCGGCGGTTCCCGGCGAACCTCGCGATGCTGACATGGTGAGGAGCGAGTTGCAGCATCCACCATGGCCTCATGCTGTGTCGTGCCACTGCTAGCGGCTACTCGGTGCTCCTCGCCGCGACCATGGTGCTCGACAGCATCCGCGACCAGTCGGCGCCCACGTCGCACGGCAGCGTCGCCACCTGCCGCGTCCTCGGCCTCGGCTACCAGTTTTTCGCGTCGCTCGTCGTCTGGAATTGGATCCTGACCGTCGTCGTCTTGTACATGGTCCGCATCGACTCCACGCGATCTCTGCGCTCAAGCAATACGTTGCTTGTTGTAGGTGCTCGGGCGCCAGCTGCCGTACTCGGTCGTGAGCTCGTACGACTCGATGTACTACTGCCTCCTCTGCTGCGTACCCTCGATCCTCCTCGCGCTCGGGCTCTCACGCAACGCGTTTGGCTTCAACGCCGAGACCAAGACGTGCTGGATCGTCCGCCCGCGCCATGCATTCATGCTCTTCTACGCGCAGCTGCTCTTTGGCCTCGTCATCTTCCTCGCCATGGTCCCGTCGCTTCTCCGCCGCCTCCGGTCGCATCCGGAGCTCTACGCGCCGTTCGCCAACTGCGTCTACACGGCGCTCACGGCCGGGATGCTGCTCTTGTACGGCGTCAACCTCGTCTTGATGGACAGCAACCCGTCGAATGGCTACGTTGGCGCGACCATGCCCACGTACTGTGGCCTCCACGGCATCGGTCTCTCCATCTTTGGGGCGGTCTCGGCGCTTCTGCACCTCTGGCCGTCGTACTCGGACCTCGCGCCGTGCGCGGTACGTGTTCACGTGCCTCTGTGTCATCTCTAGTGATGTGCATGGATCCTAGGACGAGAAGGCCTGGCCCCACGATGAGCCCGAGACCGTCGATGAAAGCCAGCGCCCGCAGATGGCGCGGACGCCGTCGCACCACTCGCTGCCCGAGTCGCGCCACTCGCTCGCGTCGTCGCAGCCGTCGTCGGCGGCCAAGTCGTCCAAAGCGTCGTCGCGCCCCGGGTCGCATGCGATTTTGCGGTCGTACGTCATGCCGGCGGTGTCGCCCGTCGCGGCGCTCGACACGCGGCCGCACAACCACTTGGATTTGTGCCAATCTGCGTTTGACTCGGCGTGTGGGACCGCCGTCTCGGTCCCGCCCGACTTTCAAGTCCGCTTGGTGCAGCAAGAAGCCACCGTCGTACGAAGCACCGACCTTGTCTCTCACACCAGCTCACGCATTTGTCCTAGGCGTATACAAATTTGATGCTCGGGTACGTCCGCGACCAGCTCATGGCCGAGGGCTTTGACATGAGCTCGCGTGAAATGAGCACGTTCCTTTCGACGCTGACGCGGTCGGTGCTCGCATCGAGCCGCTCGATGGCGAGCACGAACCCCAACACGCTCGACGTTCGCCTTGTGCAGGCCATGGAGCGCTACCGGCGCGAGCAGCAGAACGCGACCGAGCTCTCGGTGACGTCGACGCTTTCGCAGTACAACACTGCGAGCAGCTCCAAGAAGAGTGTGCACTTCAAGGACTTGGACTTGGACGCGCGGCTGGCGATGGCGCGCGAGCGCTATGCCCGCGAGCAGACGTTCATCATGGGCAACACGGAGCTCTCAACGTCGTCGGTCGAGTCGAGTCCGCGCTCGAGCGTCGGGAACGACCTCGACGCGCGCTTGGCGGCTGCCCGCATGCGCTATCTCAACGACGACGATGATGATGAAAACGATGATGGAGACAGCCTGTACGAAGGGGACTCGGACGACGAGCACAGCGCCGGAAGCCGCACGACCTAGAGCGAGATACGCAGAAATGTATTTAATACGACAATATACGCATATTTTGTCGACAAAAAAGCTGGTTCATTTGTGTACAATAGGTCATTCTTCTTACAATAGCGATTGACGAATCAAGGTTCGATGCGTCATATCGGCAGTTGGCCAAAGGACGGGCGCTCGCCTAGACCGCCCAGGCCATGCAGTGAGAATAGCCGCCTCCCTCGGTCACAAGGATCGACCGTAGGTCGTTATGCTGAATATCGTCCAGTGCAGGCCATCACCAGCGTCACAGGTGTCGGTCACAATATCACGAGTGCTGGTCTCACCCATTGGGTCTCACCGGTGATTGGGTAATGTCTTTCCTTTGAAAGACGTTGATTGGCTAAGAAGAAATGGCGAGATATTCTGCGTATTTTGATCGTCCATTCTGCCACGACGCAGGCGCGATAAACTTCACGGCAAAAACGTTGGTGAGGTCGTACACTCGCCTGAATCCAAATAATTTTTTAGTTAGCATTCAGATTCGATGCTTCGTCCATCCCACCGTCCTCGTTCGCGCGACAGAACGAGGTGGAAAGGTCCAAACGTAGAGACCCGAGTAGAGACCCGAGTAGAGACCCGATACGGTCTATCAAGTTTACACAGCTCGTACGAATTCGAGACAGAAATCAATGTATCACTTTAGTTGATTTGAACTAGAAACAGCCGCCAACAATTTCACAAAGAAATCCAGTTGCCGGTGACAAGCACCAGCGCGGCGTGTGCCATGATTCGTCACGCCTATTGTTGGTTGTAGACGCCGCAAATAGTTCGAATGGCACTATACGTTTGGTGTCATCGAAATGACGATACTCGGTGCCTTTGCTTGTGTTCAATTGCCCTTGGACGCCGTGGTCTTCCACGCTTCGCCACTTTACGAAAGAAAAAATGTGTTTCGAGGCGTGTACAACAGCAGCACGAATATTGCTCTCCGCCGCTTCCCCAAGCACTCTGTCGACGCCAAGCGGGACGTGTTTGTCCAGCATATATCGCTTCTCTCTCGTCTCCAGCACGACAACGTTGTGTCCTTTGTCGGGTGCTGCATGGACGCCCATGACAACTTGTACGTGTTCACCAATGGTATATAGTTCGGCTTATGTCGCTCTAGATATATCGCGATGGAGTGGATGGACGGCGGGTCGCTACGCTCCGTACTTACTAGCCCATCGGTGCATTGGACGTGGGCCTCCCACGGACTCGCAGCAGCACGCTCGGTCTGCGTCGCGATGCAGTACCTTCGGTCTCACGCAATCAACGACGGCGTCTACCCCCACACCTTGACATCCGCCACCGTCTTCTTCCCGTAAAACTCCGTCGAGAAATGACATGGTTGAGTACTCAAAGATGTTCTCCAGGCGTGATGCGAATGCTATGTGCAAGGTCGGCGATATTGGACTCGCCGCCTTGGCGTCCGAAGAGATGTTGCCGTTGTGTACCGTTCCGACGTGGCTGGCTCCCGAAGTCTTGCGTGGCGACTGCGTGCAGAGCGAGGCGGCCGATGTCTACAGCTTTGGCATGCGTACGTCCGCTGGCACTTTCAACGACGGCATATCTCAGTCCTGTGTCCTAGTGCTCTACGAACTGTTTACGCAGAAAAGACCGTTTACCAACTATCGGAGCCGCATGCAGCTGCTGATTAGCATTGTCTACGACGGCGCGCGACCGACGCTACCAGAGGCAGCGCCGCAAAGAATTCTGGAGATCTACCACGCATGTGTCGATGCCCAGCCAGCACTTCGCCCGACCTTCAGGCATCTTCTGGGCGCATTTTCCTGCATACGCGACGACGCCGTGGCGTAGCATCCTGACCGTGAACGCGAGCAAGGCTATTTATGCTCTGAACTACGCCAGATATTCTGTAAGACTTGTTGAGCTGTGAATGAGACCTTGCTTTCCAGACGAGCGCTGGCAGAGTTTGTGGTATCGTCGGTGTGTTGGGCAACGAATCCTGGAGCTGCATATTGTCGCTAACGTTCCTTGATCTTCAGGAGACCTTTCCTCGTTGACATAGCTGCTCACGAAGGCGCTAACGTTACTGGTAGCAAGGCTGAGCTGCAAGGCTGGTGTCAAGGGCATTGAGCCGTCCCGCATCAGCAATGGATTGGCTAATATTCCACCAATCCGATTTCGCATCAGGATATGAACGGCCCTTTGAACAAGGGTATATAAGAGATCTCTTATATACCCTTGCTTTGAATGAGCTCGCATCAAGTTGCGATGGCCGAAGCCGGACGCCAGCAGAAGGCAGGTCGTCCGACGCCACCGCCCGCGCTCGCCCTTCCGCAAGTCATCGAGGCCATAGCGACGTGCTTGTACTACGTTGACGACTCTGACAATTTTCTGCACGCGGTCTCACGCTGTGTCTGGGCACCAGCGCTGACCGCCTTCTACGAATTGCGCATCACGCCATCAGTCACGGCTGAGTGGCCGCTGCTTTACCTTGACGCAATGGAAGCATCGCGCGAGGTGCTGGCACTGGTCGCGGCGACGCTGCCGCTGCGTCCGTGCGTCGTGATCCCAGACGCGATCTGGCAGCTGGCCTCATTGGTCAAGGTCGCCCCGATCTTGGCCGGGCTCAGCCGCGTCACACTCGAGTTCTACGGCGCGACCATGAGGCCAAGGCAAAGGAATCAGCGACCTCCTCTTGCAGCGCTGCCCGTTTCTGCACGATATCAACATCAACGTTGAGGCGTTGCATGCCATGGCTGACGCGGAGCTCAACGATCTGCTAGCGGTGTTCGCCCACCCGCGTCTCCGCTGGATGCGCATTGATTTGCTGAACGCACGCATCATTACGCCTCAATTTGGGCAGCGTCTGATCACTTGGCTGAGAACGGTGCCAGCCACCAAGACCTATCTCTCGTTGACCAACGTGGCGCATTGGGACCGCGCCACGGTGCTGGCCTTTTGCGACGCGCTACAAGCCAACACATCGCTGTGCTGTCTCTCGATCAGCAATGTCGTCGGCCTCGGCGGTTTCCACGGGCGGTGTTTCCCGACATCCTTAAAGGTCTTCTCGTGGAGTTGTCACGGAGATGTCGACGACGCGACGATCCAGGACGTCGCAACCGCCCTCGGTCCCACGAAACTCGAGCGCCTCTGCAGCAGCGCCTTTGGCCAGCTCACGCGATGTTCGGCAACGGCGCAACAGCTCGCGACACTGCAGCACCTCAGCGTCTATCGGTTAAGCGTTCAGAAGATGAATGAATTGGTCGCTGGTGTGGCGTGTCGAGCTTCCATTGCACTTGGTCCTTCGAGAGCGGGCGGCGGATGCGAGGTTGGCACCGACACGTAAGCTCAAGACAATGTATTGTAGACTGTTATGCAGAGAGAAACCTGGGCCACTGATCGAGCAGCAGCTGAGCGAGGCGAGACGCGGCGTGTGAAACGAATGACGTGGACTTGAACTTGGGTTGATACTTGGTTGATTTGCAGTGTATCCGGCGGGGTTAACCGGACACGCGCCACACTGGTTTGGCTGCAGTCCCGGCGCTCACGTCGCTTAAGCTTGACGCGTGTGACGTCTCGTCGGTCGCAGAACATCTCATGGAGACGCTAGCGACCACATGTGTGCATCTCGAGAAGCTCCTCATCCCGGAGCATCCACTGACTCGCGATGGCGTCACAACTATTTTCGTTGGCGCGCTGCGATTGCCGCAGCTGACGTCGTTGAGCCTTTCGATGCGCCTCCCCGATGTGCTGTATGCCCTTCCCGAGCTCGTCGATGTGGGCCGTCACGTCCCAGACCTCTACCTTGTGTCATCGACGCCCAATCAAGAGAGCGAGGCGCACGAAGGCAAGCGCGCTAGCTATCTTGCGAGCGCTGTCGCTGGTTCAAAACGTCCCGTTTGTCTTGGAGGAGCTCCCAGACGACGCGGAGGCACGTGTTGCAGCCGCGCTCGGTCCGCGCGCCGATCGAGACCACCGCTGCCGCTTGCTTCTTTAATTTACGAAACTCTTGCATCTCGGATACATCAAGAAGGCGAGGTGCTGTCGGCTCGTTGCCTCGATCAAACTGCACCCTGCTTTGGTGGTAGTACATGGAATAACACAGTATTCGTGCAGTGACGACGGGCGCATCATTGTCGTTGATGTACTGTACTAAATCAACGTCATGATGCCGTCACTGCGGAATATACACTGTATTATAGTGTATATCCCGTGGTGGATACCGATACAGTGTATATCCCAGTGTCGGATATGTACAATGGACTCGTGCCACAATTGCACTTGACGTCGAGCGAATGTGGTCTGCGGATCGATTGGCGCCAATAAAAATCGAATTCAGTGGCGCGTTGTTTATGCTTCGATCCGGCTCGTCATCACCACCGCCAAAGACACGAGATACTATCAAGTTGATACAACGTTCTGTCACTGCCTATTAATAGTGGCTGCTTAACATATGGAGTTGCCAGATTTGTATCAAGCTTACTAATACAGTAGAACTTGTCTAACTGTGTATCCCGAAACTCAATAATCCTCTAGTGCGTGATATATGAGCCATTTATTTTTTTAGACTTCAAGAATATTAAAATAAAAGGTGACCCAATGGCATTCTCCCAAGGCGAGGCGAGGAAGATGAGGCCCAAGGCGAGGAAGATGACGCCGAGGTCAGTCACAGGCTTTGACAAAGGTCGAAGTACCCAAGAAGATTTCGCTAGAGTTGCGCGCTCGGCCGGAGGGCAAGCGATCAAGACATATTTCGACAACGAATGTCTGCGAAAGGTTCGTGATCCTCGACTTCAACTACGCGAACGACGGCAAACGAAGGCGCACAGCTTGATTCTACCACGCCCACGGGTTTCCAACCTTGAGCCAATGCACCGTTTCGCGGTCTTGCTCATGCTACGCGACAAGGCTAAGTGGCGCAGCAAGGCGCTGCATGCACTCGACATCATTCCACTAGGTGATTAAAATTTAATGTTTCACTTTTATATTTTAAGCCCCTCACAATTAATAATCCTCTCAAATCTATCAAAAATACCCTATGCAGTTAGACAAGTTCGTTCGACTGTACCGGTAATACCAACTGATTTGATACTGCACAGTGCGCTGGATCTGAACATGTGGCACAGCACAAACGACGAAACGTCCACAACCAAATTCGACACCAACGGCGCACATTCGTTCTCAACACGATGGACCGTCCGAGAACCGAGACGGTGCTTCCTAATCAAGTCGTGACGCCCAGTGTAGCGAACCGACTTGCCACCAAGTCGTCGCACCAAATGCTTTCGTATGACTCTCTCTCGCTTGTCGATCCCAATACGACCTTGTCGTTTGGACTGCACGAAGATGGCTCGTACGACGGTCTGCCTGTGACGGTCTTCAAGATCTTCGCCAAGCAGCTCAGCTCGATGGACCGATTGCTCGATGAGCTGAATACGCTGCATCATCTGCGCCACCCCAACGTTCTGCTCTTTCTGGGCGCGTGCACGGACGAGAAGGACAACCTGTACCTTGTGTCTGAGCGGCCTGGCACGGAAAAGCTCGACCAAATCTTGTCGAATCACCGCTTGCACCTGTCGTGGCAGGCGCACTTGCTGCCGATCGCAATGGACGTTTGCCGCGCAATGGTGTACCTCCACGCGAAAAACCGGCCCCATGGCAACCTCACGTCCGCGTCGATCCTCCTATCGTACGACACCACACACATCTCTATCAATGTATCAACGATGCATGTTGTAGGAACCAGCACTATGACGCGGCCAAGGTCATGGACACGCGGTACATTTCACTCGTGGCCGACGAAGTGTACGCTGGCCTTCCCACGCATTCGGCGCCAGACTACCTTCGCGGCGATGTCAGTAGCAGCGAGGCCTGTGACGTCTATAGTTTTGGCATGGGTACGTGTTCCAGGCACAATGGCGCTTGGACCTCACATGCATGTCTAGTGCTATGGGAACTGTGCACGCGCCGTGAGCCGTACGCTGAGGTTCGTGAGTCGATGAGCACGTTTGCGACGATGGATGCGATAGCAAATGGCCGCTTGTTTCCCGGGCCCCTGCCGTCGAACGTGCCGGCGCCCTTGGCGCAGCTCGTAGCAGCGTGTCTCGCCGCGGACCCGTCGCATCGCCCGGTGTTTCGCGAGGTTCTCACGACGCTCGACACGACCGTGCGGGCTGCGGTTGCGAGTCTGTAAGCGTGCATGAAAAGGCCCTGTGCGCAGAGTCAAGTAGGGACCTTCTTGGTGTGATCTGGTATCCACCCAGGTATCCACCTTGGCCCTCACTGCATCATCATTTGTGCCTCGGCATGTGGGTTTTGTATGCGTCGCTGAGTGAACTCACGTTCCTGGCGATGACGTTTTCCCCACACCTTCAGACCTGCGGAAGCCGAGTCCGCTGACACCCACAGCTAAGCGTTCATCGTAACCGGTTAGCCAGAAGGTTTCTTTGAGTCCTCGCACTTTTTGTTTGGCATTCGACCGCCCACGCGTTTCTTGTCTTCTCTGCGGCAGCAGCTCCCACTAGCTTCCTCACCTCGTCACTCGCAGGACCGCTCGCGCCACATTCCGTGGTATGAGATAGAAGACATTTAGAGATAGGTGCATGAGCACGTACTCTCACGCGTGCGTCTACTTACTGAGTCTGAATGGAAGCAAGGCCAGATGGAGAGGACGGGTCGCTTCAACAACTCAACAACGGTCCGGTAAGGGTCTTGGAAAGAGCAGTAATTGTGTACGCGGAGCTAGGTTTTTGCACGCTTACCTCGACGCCATAGCTTTACTACTTGGCACCGACCGTCAGTACGACTGCAGGTTTGGGCGCGATACGTTGCGAATGATGTGACCAGTTCGGTTTGTTTTGGCCGACGCTGCCATGTCACGACACCAACTCAACAGGGGCGTGGCTTTAAATTGGCTGGAACGATGGGCTCTTCTGGATACGTTTCCCTACGTATCTGGCAGAGGAAACGATGGCCACTTCACGGGCCAATTTGCGTCACCGTATTTTGTTTCGCCCATTGTACCATGTCATTATATCATAATTATACGAGGCAGTCTACAGATCGACGGCGGCGAGGATCGCCTCGAGTCGCTCCGCAGTTTCGTCAAAGGACGGACGCTGTGCGAAATTCTCATCCCAGCACCTCTCCGATTCAGATTTTGCGGTCAGGCGGGCTCTCTCCAACGGCTTTCACCATCGGTAACAAACAGGACCCAAGTTAGCAAGCGTGCGCGTTGAGATAAACAAAATGGTGAGATGACTAGGCACTGGCGTCCACTTGGCGTCGCACGAGCGAATCAAATTCGACAATGAGCTGGTCAAACCCGGGGCGGCCGGCCGGGTCCATGAGCACGCAGCGCTGGTAGATGCTCGCGATGCTGGACGGCGCGTTCTCCGAGAGCGTCGGCCGCAGCTCCTTGTACGCGATTTCGTGCATGAGCCGCTGCGCGCCGGCCCGGCGGCTCACAATGTGTTCGTGGTACGGCTTCTTGCGTGTTTCGATTTCCGCGAGCACTAGAGTCGTATCCCATCAGATCTGGTTTTGCATCCCAGATTAGGACGAGGGTTGTACCAATGCCAAAGCTGTACACGTCGGCCTTTTCCGTGTATGTGTCGCCGCGGAGGATCTCGGGCGCCGTCCAAAGCGGCGTGCCGCGCAGGCTCAGCGCTTCGTCCGTCAAAAGCCGCACAAAGCCAAAGTCGGCGATCTTGGCGACTTGAAAGTTGGCGCTAAAATAGAGTTGATACACTGACAGTTGACATCGAGATATGTACCTGACGAGGATGTTGGCGGCCTTGAGGTCGCGATGAATGTACTTGGGCTCTTGCGAGTGCAAGTAGGCCATGCCACGGCAAATGTCGACGACGAACCGCAATAGCGGGTCCTTCCAGCTGAGCGCGATCGTCGGGTCGAGGAGGAGGGACCCGAGGTCGCCGCGCTCCATGTACTCGGTCACGAGGCACCTGGCGCACGCGATAAGGTATGGTCGATGATCGCAATGCAAAGGAACGTACAGGTTTTCTTGGGCGTCAGCGCTGGCGCCAATGAAGAGGATGATGTTGGGGTGCCGGAGCGTCGAGAGAAGCTGGATCTCGTTGGCGAAGAGCGCGACGTTGGCCGCGTTGATCTGGTTCTGGAGCATCTTCTTGATGACGATCGGGGTTCCGTGGTACTCGCCCTTGATGACTTCGCCGCACGCGCCTTGGCCCAGGCGCTCGCCAAAGCGCAGGTCGCTGTACGTGATCGCCGCCCGCCGCAGCGAGATGTTGGTCGCGAGCATCGTGCCCACAATGGACGACGACGATGGACGCGGCGGCGACGGCGCCGGCGGTGGCGTCTTGGGCGCCAGAGGCTCCGGCGCAGGCTGCGGCGCCTTCGTCGGGGGCTTGGGCTTGTTGCTGGCGTTGCCCATGGCGATTTGGCGTTTGATCATCCGCCTCGATCATATTGGTCGAGTAGATTTCCACCGTGTCAATTATACTTCACATTGTGTAAAATATCCTCCATACTACAAACAAGGTTTATCTGTTTCTCACGTGCCGATGGGTTTTATTTCTCACATGTGAATCTGAAATAATTGACACCAAGCCAGCGCCTGCGCGGGGTTGTAAATACAGCGTATTTTTATGCACACTATACATGGATTTTGTATGCAACATTGATTTTTGAAATAAAACAAACTGGATTTGTTATCGACCTCAGATGTTGCAGCCAGTCGGCGGTCTGACGAGGGCCATCGACTCTGTCGCTGGCGCCGGCAGCTGACCTCGCAGATGGATCAGAGGGTATCGGACCCATGAAGATATGAGAGAGAGAAGAGTAGATTAAGATGATAAGAGTCTAGTTCTGGAGCGTCGAGATCGAGATGAACGTCGTTTCGAGGCCGGCAAAGCGTCCGTTGATACGGCGGCGCTTGGCGGCGACTTGCTGACGCGACTCGAAGACGGGCTTGTCCTTGGGCAGCGCACGGTGTTTCCGCTTGTCCTTCCAGCGGGCAACGCGGTCCTCGCGCGTCAGCTCCGTCTTCTGAAAGACAGGCGGGCCGCACACAAAGCCACCGAGCACCGGAAGTGACCGCGGCGCCAGCTGCGGGATGCGGCTGTCGAGGCGCGGCAGCCGCGCGTCCAGCACAGGCACCCGCGGGTCTGCGACCGGCGCTGACGGAGCCGGCGCCGCCAAGCACGTAAACAGGTCGGCAATGTCGTCGACGTGGAAGGCGTCGGCTTCGTCTTGCACGTTGGCCGCCGCCGCGTCCGCTTCGAGGTCATCAAACATGCTCGAAATCTCATCGACGACCGCCGCGTCCTCGGCCGCTTGGACCGCAGCCACGTCTTCGAGGTCGTCAAAGATGCCGGCGATCTCATCGACAACCGCCGCGTCATTCGACTCGGCATCGAGGCTGGCCATGAGCACCGACATGTCGTCGTCGGCGAGCGCACCAAAGAGGTCGGCGACATCGTCGACGGCGCCGGCATCATTGGCGTCGGCCTCGATGACCGAGAAAAAGTCGCTGAGCATGTCGACGTTCGCGGCATCGTCCGAGACGAGGCTACAGAGCTCGAGGTCTTGGTCGTCTTGATCGAATCTTCTCTTTTTGGGGTGGGGGGGGTGGTGTCGGTCGTCGTCTACGCCGAGGCCGCGCCAGACCACCGGGTGTTGTAGTCCTTGGACGCGGCCAAACGGGGCGATGCCCGATAAAAATTTGGACTTCCAAACGCGCACATCTCGCTGTGGGGGGTCCGAAGGTTGTAGAGGAAGGCGAGGGTCGTCATTGTTCTGAAACTGGCAGTGGTTGACGGTCTGGAGGAGGGGCAGGGGTTACGCGAGCGCGGACAAGGTACGGGGGCGCGGCAGAAGTGCAGGAATCGAAGCTCCGTCGCGTGCTATAGGTCCTGCGCCGCGGATTCTCGAGGGTCGAAGTGTCGGCTCTCGGAGGCTGTGCAAAATGCAAAGTGCCCTTCTCCCGGCCCAAAAGGACCAACACCGTACCGTTACGTCGCTTCTCGATACAGAAACCAAGTGAAAAAAATCGACCCTCACTCACGCATGCTCTAGGACTAGGGCTTTTCGTGCATTGTGATTGGTGCAAAAAGGATGGCCGCAAAGATGCAGTGCGCCCAATCAGATGCGATCTTCCTTCGATGCCAGTTGAATCCCCGCTGATGGACACTGACCGTGCTGCCTGCAGGTCGATAGGCTAGATACGCTCGCGAAGAGAGCCATATTAACCTTGGGTACTGCGTGAAGCCTCGATCTCGCTCGAATGAAGCGCGCCGAAAGGATCATGTCTGATTACCTAACCGGGGGAATGCAGCCGCTGCAACCGTCCGCTCGGTTCGAAACCGTACATCGTACATAATATTCCGTACACCGTACAGTACATGTGTCACGGGTGTGATTAAACTAAGAAGATTTAAATACCTAGTGGATGTAATACTGAACACAAGTGTATTGTTAGAAGTCGGAATAAAACTTATTTACTTTTTTGAAATGCTGTTTTTTAGTACAAGATTTGCCAGCCGCTGGACTGGATCACTTTTGATTTGGCCCGAGAAGCGACGCGTAAGCAGCCCGATGGCATCGACCAAGTCTCAAGGCGCCTCTATTTATTCGCCATCTCGGACCTCCATGAAGCGGGCCTCGATGAAGCGGGCCTTGGACGACGACGCTGACGCAGCCAATGTCGACGACGTCGCCGTCCTCTTCGACGACCTCGAGGCCCAAGAGCACAAGCGCGCCCGCGTCGCCAAGCTCCACCACCTCCATGTACGTCTTCGCCGCCACCGCGTGCCATGCTTATGGCGATCTCTGGCGCAGACGCAAGACGCATGCGACGCCAAGGTGGTCGACGACGTCTCGGACTTCTTTAGCAGCCTTCTTGACGACGCGCCCGACGCCGACACGACGCCTCAGCAGGTACACGTCTAGCCTAGCCAAGTAGTGTAGTGCTGCGCCGCCCATGCATTCGAGTTGCGTCCACTTTAATGGATCGCGCTCTTTGCGTGGGCGCTGCGTGGCGCCCTAACCCCATGGAGTCAGCTCTTGCTGCATTCCATGGAATTTGGGGCAAATGGGCGATGATGGGGCAGGACCGTGGCTCATGGTCTTCTCTCCATAGGCGTCCTGCGGCAGCACGTTCAGCAAGTCGTCGTCGTCAACGTCGTTTGGCCAGAGCGAAGCCGTGGTCGTCAACATGGTCCTCTCACCGACGCCATCCGTGCTGCATCTCGACGACAGCTTTGGAACCTTGGAGGGTGTGTTCGAAATGCAAATGGCATTTCGCAGGATGCCAGCCGCACAAGCGCGGTGTGGTGTACTGCGAAGTGTCATTTGTATCCATCCCACGCCCAGCCTCCGTGCTTCCAGTGCAGCCGCCGTCCATGTAATCGCCGATAACACAGCCACGTACTTTTTACTTCATCGAGTTTGGTTTGGACACCTTGCGAGCCGAGCTTGCGCGTCCATCTCGAATGATCTTTGCAGAAATACGCAACCGGCTCTGTCGCCACCTTCAAGATAGACTTGCATCCTGCAACCCGTAGCGCATGGTCTGTCCTCGCATCAAAAAGCGTTCGTTGCCTACGACCATGCCAACATGGCCAGCACTGTGGAGCCACGTCACAGCACGACACGGGCGCCGGGTGAGCCACCACCGCCGCCACCACGAGTGCGGGTTGCGTTCAGGCTGTTGTAGCCAAGGACAATACATTACACGTATAAGTTATTTCTCTTGCTGCTGCGTACGAGCACAGACCTCGCTTGACGACGACCCGTGTTCCTTTTCCATCTGCAGCACTCTTCGACCACTGGTTATCAACCAACACCACCCAGGTTGCAGTGTCACGGTAATAGGGGTAGGGTAAATAAGTAGGTTGTGATTATGGACAAGGACGGGCTGCATCATGATCCAGCAAGGGGCCTTGGAGCGCCGTGATGGGTAAGAAGGGCTTCTCAAAGCCCGCGTACCGGCCCTTGATGCGACGCCGCTTCGCCGAGGCTTCCTGGCGCCGCAGTGAGAACGCACGCGTGCGCACTGGCGGCGGCTTGGTCACTGGCGACGACGGGCTGCTAAACGAGTAGCATCGGCCGTCAAGCAAGATCGGGCGCCGCACCATGGGCAAGCGCGCGTCGGTGGCGGGCCGCGACGACGGTGCTTCGTCCGGAAAGAAGGCGGCGAAACCTTCCTCGAGCCACTCGAGGTCGGCGTCCGTCCACGCGGCAGCGTGACGAGGTGCCATACTCGGCGAAGGCGGGATAGAAAAGTCCATGGTTTAGTGTCGTTTTGTCGAATGGAGTCCAATTCACAAGTGACTCGTCTTCGAGCATTTTCTCGAAACGTACACAACACAAGGTCCAACTGTGTTGCTGCGGCAAACAATAGCATGCATTCGAGGTGGAGCGTACTACACTCGCCGTTATTGAAGACCAGGTCGCAGGAACGGTTGCTATCCTAGTACACCATGTGTGTCGATGTAAATTTTGCCTCACGTCTGGATGTTTTCGGTTCGCAATATTGCGCAGATATGGCAAACCCCAGCTACACTAGAGCTGCGAGCCACAAGAGTCTTCGTCATTAGCGTCGTTTGTGCGAAATGTGAACGTCGAGTGTTGGTAGTACACGTGTACAATCGAGGTAAAGATACACTCCGCCACCCAACTAGTACACGAAACATTTGTCCAAAGACGACAAGAAATAGAGCGTGGCTGACAGGTCAATCCGCAGAGTATCTTTTGTGGCAGTGCGATGGTGTTGGTCGGTGGCCTGGCTACCAAGGTGCGACTTGGCGTTCCATGGTGATCTTCCCCTCTCTTTTTTCTCCAATGCACACGAAAGGAAGGCAGCTTCATGGGCTCTTTACACAGTACGTCTTTGGGGTACGCGCCGCGCGTTAATTTTTGAAGATCGTGTGAGCAACCACAAAGGCACAAGTCATCGGCCTTGGTTTCGCGTGAAACATCGATGCTGTCCCGTCTCGCGTCTCGCGAACGGACGCCGTGAGGCATTGCACGTCCAAACGTATATTATTGAACTAGTTGACGAATCCCATCGCCCCATCGCAGTGTTCAGCGGTTGTGCAAAGCGTGTAGGTGGGGAAAAGAGCCGTTGGCAATGTGTTTTTGTTATGTTTTTATTGCTTGACTGACAATGAAGGATGACCTACTCCAGGGACACAACTACTTGGTTACCGTGATGATGGTCCGGTCCAGACAGGTGAGTGAGACCGTATGACTGGTGTCGTACCCGGTATTTGCGCGTCAACACTGCGTATTGTGCGAGATGCGCTCGTGGACGCTGATCAGGGTTTTTGCATACCGCGCCAAACGCCCGTTGACGAGCGGCACCAATATTTGCCGTCGTGATGCGTCGCGTGTGGTTGTTGCTACAAACTGCGCTCAGTATTTTTCACGTCATTTCGAACGCGAGGTCAACTTTCATTGACGAGTCCAGATGCAACGAAAGAACCATGTGTCAATACAAGATGTCTAACCTCGATACTGTGCATTCGAAGAGTATACTAGCATACGGGTCTACGAGAACGGGCAAGCCTAGAAGGTCAAAGGCCTTTTACAGAACGATGTCTTCGTCAACACCACTTGATGCTGAATACCCAAGCGATGTGCCTCTTCCAAATGATGCACGCCCTGCGCCACGACGCCTGGCTTCGTGACCACTTCGTCCCGGCGTGCGCCATCCACACGCCTCGCCTTCAACATGGCTAAGCCTCGCCGCTGCTGCCGTCTAGCACAACACGCTCTGAATCAAAAGTCCACCCCCCAAAAACAGTTCAGTGTAAATTATATCTAAATCTAAATAGACTCACTTCAACAACAGCGATGCCTTCGTCATCACTTGCGTTTCGCGTTTCACAACGGACGTCGTGCTCGCACTCCTCATTTGACCGACTGGACGAGAGCTAACACCAAAATACCCTAGTTCACCGCGTCCTATCGAACAATTGAGCTAAGATCTTAGACGCGTTCAAATGATATGTGCCCAAGACGGTGTCGCTGTGATGTGTCACGCACCTTTGCAATATTTAACGCCACACCGAACGTGCGACTCACAGCGTCCGAAAATTGCGCGTCCAAAACATCCGGTTTCCACGTGGCACGTCCACCGACAATGGAATTTTCCGAGAAACGGCGATGCGCGCTGGTGGACGACCTGCATTCTGCCCCAAAGATCGGGTGATGGGGCGTCGTGCCGAGGCGAATGTCGACTACCGATTATAATAATAAGGCTTCTAAACGCTTAGCTATTGCTTTACTGGGAGCTTGCGGGTAAAAAGACCGTGGCCGGCGCAAACCGTCCGTTGACCCTTCGCCGCGCAAGCGACGAAAGCTGGTGCGACTCGCTCACACGCCGCCCTTTAAGCCTTCGTTTTCGCTTGTCTTTCCAGCGCAAAACGCGATCTTGACGAGTAAGGTGTGGCAACGGCGGCCCACACATATAGCCTTGATCGTGACGAACGTGCAAGTCTACACGCGGGGGTAGTAGTCTCGGGATGCGGTCGTCGCAGCCAACCATTGGTGCCGGCGTCGAGTCGGGGGCTTCCAAGTGCGAGAAGAGATCGCTGAGCCAGTTGACGTTGTCAACGTCGGCTTCGTCCAGAGACGCGAAGATGTCGTGGAACCAGTCGACGTTGTTCGTGTCGGCGCCTGCCGGCGCCAAATGCGAGGTGTCTAGCTCGGCCGAAAAATCGTCCAAAATAGGCGTCGAAGGCAGCACGAGGCGGGCGCCCGCGAGCTCCAAGTGCCAGAGGCCATCCAGTAGATGCGAAGATTCCATGGTAAGTTTCCGTGTGCGTCACTCCAGCTGGAGCAGCAACCGATGAACCTTCACTCGCGCGCCGCGGTGGCGCCAACAGAATGTATGTTTGTGACAGCCAATCGTTTGCGCTGCCCCAAACTCAATCGCTGGTCGACAGCTTTTGTCGCAATCGTTGACAGGAACAGTACATGCTGCCTTTTTATATTTAGTCGGCGAAGGGCGACGCGCTAGTCCAGAGAGCTATCGAGCGTTGCGCTATCAATATTATGAACGTTCGTACTACGGACCACGCACCATGAACTAGGGTTAGGGAAACCACGGGACGAGAAAGCCAGGCTGCCCTAGTCCCAACGACCAAACATGACGCCATAATTATGCGACAATACTTTCGTGCTTTGCATAGCACTCGCTCGTGTGTAAAATTCGGCATGGACGCCCCTGGTCGCTGAACCAATGTCACAAGCGTCACCATTTGTGCTTTTCTACATTATTTACGGTCACGTTGTGCGTCAACCTCGACAAGGGGGCTTGACGACGTTGATGAACCTTGCCGCTGATGTGCTTGCGATTAAGGCAGCTGATATTACGCGACTGCATGTCCGGCAATTGCTTGTAGCGCCATGGTGTGCTGGATACCTCGCTCCTCGACAATCCCGAGCCACGGCCGCGCGCCCTCCTCTTGACGCGCCGGTCTTGCCTCACGAACGCATTCCGCTCGCAGACGTTGTCGCGCCTGGCCTAGTGACTCACGTGTTTCGCGGAGACAGTGACGTCGTTGGCCAGAGCGATGACATGTCACCTCGCAGAATTGTGCCGTCGAGACCCCGTGGCACGGTGCCACAACGCGCTACCTACAGCTTCGCTTCCGACGACCCTTCAGCTTCGCCCTCCGTAGTCGCTGCAGCCGCCAAGTACTACAGTCAACGAGACCACAACTTTCCGCGCTGCGCAGATGTCATGTGCCGCATCAGGCTACCCGACACACTTTCTGGCCGACGAAGTCCACACCTGTCCCATCACCAGTGACTCAACGAGGCGCGCGCACAGCATCGGGGAGCTACAACCCTACAATTGTAGCGCATCGATGAGCGGCCAGAGCTGCCCAGACCGCGGTGACAAATGCAGAGCAGAGAGCAGAAGAACGAGTATGTGCGCGAGATGTAGTACTATAATAGTACGTGCTCCACGCCGGCCTGTGCAATTGGCCTGTGCACTTGGCTCCGTCTTTCCACTGTTGTGAGTCGCAAAGCGCAGCGAGTCGATACCACCACCAAGAGTTCAGTGTACCTAACCGGTATCCAACGAGAAGTGGCGCCAATCGAAGGTCAGACAATAGAGACCAGCTACCCAGGAAATCCAACAAACTCCCTCGCTGTGACCGTTTCCGCTTCACAGACAACGCCAGACAAAGAGAGGCCGTACTCCCAAACACCGGCGTGTGTACTATGAGGCAAATATGAAACTACAGCTAGTTGAGTGCTGGAGCCCTGGCCACAGGCTCCTGTCCCATCCTAACGGTCTTCCCGTAGGACGATCTACTGATAGATTGATACAAACACATCGCCTTGTCTCGACCTAGTGGTTTGAGAGCTGTGTAGATATGAATATTCAGTGCTCGACCATTGTATGAGGCATCAGCTGCCACACACCTCTCTTCCAAGGGGTTTATAGGACAGCGTAGTCCAAATCCTGACCAAGCTGAAGAAGAGGAAGAAAATGTTGCCCAAGAGCGGGACGCTGCGGCCTCTGAACGACGAGGGCTTCGAGTGGCCAAGCTTGTTCGACATCAAGGTTGCACGAGACAAGACGTCGTGCAGGATTTTGTAACGTTCGGCGCGACGTTGGACCTTTGGACGGCCAAGTCGGGCGGCAAGGATGTCATCTGGATCCCCGCCGACGCCTCGGCTTTGCAGCAGCGGCTCTCTTTTGTTGCGCATTGTGGACCGATAGGCCACCGTAGCAAGTTTGCGAAGAAGATGCACCTGAAGCGGCTCTTTTGGCTTGATCAACTGGACGTCAAGCTGACGGCCTTTATGGATCAGTGCTTGCTCTGCCCTCACGTGAAGGGTGGGCGCGTGATTCAACGCCCGCCCAGCCAGCTCTGGTATGCGTCTCGTCCCAACGAAGGCATCCTCTTTGATTTCCTCTATTTGGGTGACTCGTTCAAGGGCTCCAAGTACGAGCTCGTGCTCAAAGACGACTTGACGCACTATTGCGAGCTCGTGTGACATGGCGGACGCGGCCTCGGTCGTGGACGCTTTGATGCAATGGGCTGCGCGGTTTGACATGCCCCTCGTGTG